AAAAAAAAGATAAAAGGTTTAGGTACAAAGAAAAAAAAAGCAAAAGTAATAAAAAATACTGATCTGGATTTTTAAAAGCATGCTTTAGATATTCACTATAAAGGAAGTTACCTCATACTCATTTTTAAAAACTAAAGACAATAAAGCACAAAAATTAAATGTAGAAGCATACCACAGTCTTAAGAAATCAACTGTTTCTTTTCAAGGAATCATGAGTTGCCATGATTGAAAAAGGCAGGGAAATTCATTGCCATTTATAAAACCAAAATGCCTTACAATTCTAATACTGCTGACAATCCCACCCTCCTGTGGGTCTGTCTCTGGGCAGCCTGTTCATGCAACGAGATTTGCTCGGTTTCTCAATATTCTTTCACTTCAAGAACCATACACAACCAAGTATTCTAGAATAAGCAAGGCGTAGATGGCCTATAGCAGAGATATATTAAATAAAGTAATTCACCAAGAACTCACTAGCAGAAAACATCCAATTTTCTCTACTAAGTTTTGTTTTCAAACATTTATTGGATTGTTCATATATTGTACATATAATGTTTTTCCTAAAGTACATGAATGAGATCTGTTCTAACCTATTCACAAATTAACATGTCAAAGAGAAAATTCATTTGGAAGTTATAACCTCAAAAAAATTAATGAATATAATATTTTACATTATTTCAGTATAAGGTTTAATTTACTGAATGAATATTTAGTTAATTCAATTTATTAATTGAAAAAGTAGTTACTGCAATTCTATGGAAAACACTATTAGAGTTAGGAACCAAACCAACAGTAATGTCTTTGTGTTCTTTATATATTCATGAAAACCAAAACAAACATACAGCATTAACCTAAGGAATTCAACTTGCAGCATTTTAAGGAATCCAAAGTCTATTGACAGAAACATTCATTAGGAGGTAGGTTGAGGCTTCTTATCATTTCAGAGCCAACAGAATAGAGAATATACTACACTTTGATTTTTGTAATTATCTGGGTATCCAAGTCTTTCCAATTTTAATTATAAAAATATTCAAAAACTAAACATAGACACATACAATTCAATAATTATGTTGTCTTACAGTAATTTTTTTACATAAGATGCCACTATACTTTTTTTCTGATGATTTCTACTCATGGTAAAAGAAATGCATACTTTGTGAAATTTGGCTGTTCAATGCAGAAATTAAGAATGAGACAGTAAAACAACATTAGATGAACAATAAGATCTAACAATGTTAGGTAGGAAACGTAATTTCATTATTTCAGAATGGAAAACCTTGAACACAATCTTAAGATACTAATTTTTAAAAAGTTTGAATTCAAATAATACAAAATTTAGTAAACATTATAGTTTACCATACTGTATGTTTGTTTTATGAATACAGCAATTTATTTTGGGAGCTCTATGGAATATTTGAAAGATAGGACAAAAACCGTTGAGTTATTTTTACTTTTCCTTTAATGAGAAGAGAGTGGATCTCCTTTCCTTTTCAACTTCACTGAAGATAACAGAGTAGTTTAAACTAGCACATCTCCTTTACTTTACTAAATTAGGTAGTCAAAGGCTTACAAAAGCAATCATGATAGTTTGTTAGAAGTATTTTCAATATTGATGAATATTTGATGGTTTGACATTTCATATACTTAAAAAACAGAATGACCTTAGAAATCAAAATACTCATTTCAAGATACTGCCTAAGTCTTTGTATGTTCAATATCACTTTGCTTTTCCTAAGAACTGCGAAATAACATATAAAATCATCATGTAAATTAATCATGTGAAGACCAGCTATTACTTAGCATACACTTTTTGAAGGGACATGAAAAAAAACTTTACAACACATAATAACACTGTAAAATGCCAGAAGAAGGAAATTGCACTTACGTGCACAGCTCTCTTAATGAAAGGAATCTGTGTGCCACTGTCCAGATCTTCATTTATGATAAGCCTTCTAGCCCACTGACCTGCCCTCACAACACCACTGCCGTGGATGAGGACCATCAGTTTCTGTGGGTTTGTTAAGGCGTCCTCACTCATAAAGATAAAACTCTTTGGTTCACTTTCAATGGCGTCTACCTGTAATTAAAAAAAAAAAATAGATAATAAATAAATGTTTGCTGATGAGGCATACAAAAAATGAGAGGACAAATGATTACAAATTATTTAATGTTCACTACAGAATTATAGGAGTAAAAAAAACTTTAAAATACAATTAAAATTTTCATTAGAGATTAGCAATTGCATATTAGGTGGATGAGCAAAACATGACAGTACTTTGGATATAAAAATGTATTTCAAAGAATACCGGGAATACACCTCCCTACATTATTACTGTGTAGTTAGTATTATATTAATCATCCTACATTAAGAATAAGTAATTTTTTTTAGCACTTCCTGTGATTCAGATACTCTGCTAACTTTTAAAAACATTCTCTTTTAATAACAATCCTATTAAGGTGATACTATTATAAGGCTCATTAGTGGATGAAATTGAATCTTAGATAATTTAAACGAGTTGCAGTTGCCCAAGGTCACATAGCTATTAAGCCTATAATTCTTTAGTTGATGTTTGTTATACCTGTAATAGGAAACAGAAAAGCCCCGTTTGAAGATACATCTACTGGAAAACTATATTTTAGTCGCAAACACTAAAGATTTTTAAAAGAGGAAACGGAAACTTAAAAAATTCAGATACTTTTCTCTGTATATGGACTTTCAAGTTTCACTGACATTGTAAGTGCAGAACTGTACAATTATTTTATGAAGCAACATTATTCATGTATTCCGGTAACCTTGCTTTAAGTACTAGTTAGTTAAAACCTTGCTTTAAGTACTAGTGAGAGAAAAACTGAATGTTTATCCATTTTGATTTTGCTTAATATTTAGGTATCTAGCTAGAGGATGCATGATTTAAATTTGAAAGAGATACAAGAACATAAAGAAGGAGTTATCACTTCCCAAGCTTCTATCACATGTGTCGCAGCTCACAGTGAACTGTATCCCACATGAATGGGGGCCAGTAACCTGAAATGGAAGTCTGCAGCCAGGTCCCAGCCAGAGCTGAAGAGTACAGACAGCTGGTAACACACACCCCTACTAGGGATGAATCCTCATGCTGTGCAATGTAATAGCTCCTCACGTTGTCAACAACAGGTATTCATGAAGAAATCAAAATAAGAAATACGCAAAAGCTCAAGATACCAAAATATTCCTGGGATTCCAAACATTCCCAGCCAGTAAGCATGGGAATACAAAAATAAAATAAAATTTCTGTACTTCTAACACAATGAGATTGGTCCATATACTAGATGCTTAGCTATAAATGAAGCATAAATAGCATTTTATTCAGCAAGAACAGAAAGGCCATTGGGCTTAAGGGGAGGAAAAAACCCCTTCTCAGTAAAGACTTCCTCATCTATCCATTTAAAATTGCAAATACTTCCCTAAAAATTTCCTGGTCACTTTTCCTGATTTATTTTATGCCACACCACATACTACAATCTGACACACTGTGTACTTCATGCATCTGTTTGTACATGGCTTCCTCAGCATCTGCTCTCCCTATTAGAATGGTAGTCCAAGAAGTCACAGAGTTCTCCATTTTGCATTCAGTTACATTCCAAGTGTCTAGACTGGAAGCTGGTGCGTTACAGGTACTAATTAAGTGAAGGAAAGAACACGTACATTTAGAATACAAACACTTATCAAGCATCACCAGTGACTTCCTTTGGGTAAAAGGAATTGAACTAAATAATGCATCTGCTTTAAATAGCTATAACATTTGCCTGGTTCAGAAGCATATACTGAAAATTAGACTAATGCATAATGATAAAGCATTTTAAAAGAGCTTCATAATGTTAAGAATTAAAATGATGTAACTACAACTTTATTATTAGTAACTAAAAATGTAGGAAGAGAAATATGAAGTGAAACACAATCACATTAGCTTCACTTGCATGCTGTGTCCACAGTAAACAAATTAGGATGTTAAAAGCAAATGAAACTGAAGCCACACAGGAAGAGAAGTAGAAGAGAGACAGAGAAAACCAAACCTGAGAAGAAAAGTCCCCTTTTACCTAGGACATTATATGAAAACAGAGGGATCGCTCAGGTAAGGTGGCTTAAAAGAAACAAAAACACAGTGATAAGATCAGAAGAAAAAATTAAAAGGCATACATATCTCTGTACAACTAAAAAACAGGTCACAACTTCCACAAATAAAAGTGACTCATAGTGAGGCCTTAATGGATCCCTGCACGGCAATGGAAATGGCTATCTATTTATCTTCACAAGAAAGACGGTAGCTATAGGCTTTAAGGAGGTGCTGATCGTTGCCTCTTGTTTTCTACGTGACTAAGTCTCCTGTTAACTGACAGGGAATTCAGTAAAACTTTTAAGCAATGGAATTTTGCCACTTTGAACTCCAAACAATATTTTAAAACTGAAACAGTCTAATTTTCAGAAGATAAAAAAGTGTTTATTTTAAGGCTGCTCAAGAATTTTTAAGGGGCAAATTCAAAGACCCAATCTAAAAATGAGCAGCTGAGATGAATACACACTTCTCAGACAAGGAGATACAAATGGCAAATAAATACATGAGCAAATGTTCAGCATCTTTAGTCATTCGAGAAATGCATATTAAAACAACATTGAGATTTCATCTCACCCCAGTCAGAATGGCTAGCATTAAGAAATCTATCAATAACAAATGCTGGCGAGGCTGTAGAGACATAGGAAATCTTCTCCACTGCTGGTGGGAAAGCAGACTGGTGAAAACACTGTGGAAATCAGTTTGGAGATTCCTCAGCAAACTAGGTCTGGAAGTCCCATTCAACCCAGCTATCCCCCTGCTGGGTATTTTCCCAGAAGATCTAAAAACATCATATCACAGCGATATATGTGCGCCCATGTTTACAGCAGCACAATTTGTAATTCCTAAATTGTGAAAGCAGCCCAAATGCCCATCCACTGAGGAATGGATAAAAAAATTGTGGTACTTTTATATAATGGAATATTACTCAGCTATAAAGAAAGATAAACTCGAGGCTTTTACAGACAAATGGTCACAACTAGAGACCATACTTATAAGTGAAATAAACCAGACCTCCCTGTGTAAGCAGCATATTGTCTCACTAGTGTAAGAACCTGAAAGAGTGAATAAAAATTAGGAGGTATGATAGACATTGTGAAATGAAAGGAAAATGCTCAAAAGTAAAGAGCAACTGGGATGAGGGAAAAGAGAAAAGAAAGAAGGGTAAATTATGTATATATGTACACACAGGATATCTAACATAGTTGTACTACTGACTTCTGTTGCTTTATTGAAAGGAACAATTAATGATTACTTATTTGATTAACCTCGTATGTCTGTATTTGTTTTCCTGAGAAACCACTTAGAAGATATCAATATGTAATACAACAACCACTGTTAATTTCCTACCACTTTGTCTGTAATTCAGTATTGCTTATATTGTTCTTATGCTATTTTGTAAATGGATGTCTGTTTGTTAATATGTTTTCCTTTTTAAAATAAATTTTAAAAAGAGATAAAAAAATAATTTTTAAGGGGTACATTAAGGTAGCCATGAGTAAATAAAGTTTTACCTGAATATCCAGAAAAGTTGACTGGAAAATATGAGAACACCAGAATAGACAAGGAAAAACAACAATGAAGATGAATAATATAATAATATTAATGATTACGTGATAAAAGCAACACAGTACTTGAGCTAGTCATTGAGTAATATTCACCTCAATTTAACAGAAGACTCTGACTATACATTGCAACTATAATTCCTCTATATAGTCAGTGCTGTTTACATATTAAAATATCTACATAAATAATTTTTCTTCATTAGCCTAATAAAATTTGGAAATGGCTATTCATCTTTTTTTTTTTTTTTTTTTTTTTTTTTTTTTTTTTTTTTTTTTTTTGGTTTTTCTCCGGTACCGGGAACCGAACTCACAACCTTGCGCTTGCCAGGCAGGCGCTTTTGCCGCTGAGCTAAATCCCCAGCCCCCAAGGCTATTTATCTTTAAACAGCGCTAAGTGATTAAGCTAAGATATCGCTTTATTAACAAATCAACCTCAAATATTACTAGGTCACTGAGACTGCATAAGACAATATTTAGCAATGAACAATTCATTCTGTTATACTCTGGAACCTCACAAATTATGATGTTTCATTTAAACATGGTATATGTATAAACAAAAAAAACTACTGAATTTATTATGATAATTCATGTACTCAATATCTATACAGGTATGAGATACTATACTAGAGAATATTTTACCCTATTTATTTCAGTATAAAGTGAACATAAGACATGGTCATGATCTTTACTGTCAAATCACTGGCTTCCACAAAGTGCTATTGTTTTTAAAAACTGGGGCGATCTTTTCTAAGTAATTTAGCTATACAACTAAATTTTAGTTCACTGTCAAGGAAAAAAGAGGTGGTGGTACTCTTAGCAAAAAGAATGTCTCTTTTAAAAACCACACTTGTAGGTCTTGGATTTAGGAAGATTTGGGAGAAATATAATAGTTACTGAGGAAAACTTTCAGAATTATGTAAAATATGTGATCATTTAAAAGAGAGATTAACTTGGTTTTTTTAAGCTTATAAAATAAGGGAATCATTATTACCAAAAGTGGACATGCTGTTCTTTATAGGTCTCACCGAATATGAGTATCCCTGTACACTGATTAGCATCAGAATCTAAATTTAAAATGAGAGGATAATAAAGGAATTACAAAATAAGTCCTCAACCTAATGTCAGGTTTTCAATGAAGGTAATACAATTTAATCATATAACAAGCCAACTGTCTTGTGATTTGTACTGGAAATCTAGGGATTGAAGTAAGTTTGAGGGTTCAGGGGAAGTAGAAATATCCTAAAGGACTTAATGTTGAGTATGTTGTATCTTTATCATTCTCGAGAAATTCTAAAAGAAATAACAAGAAAGGAAGACTGCACAAAGTGACAGAATTGTACCTTGACTTTGCAAAAGACCAAAGTGAGCACATACTTTTTATAAAAACACTAGATCTAATGTCAAAAATAAAACAAAAAGTTGCATTCCAAAAGACTGGCATACTCCTTCCCCAAAATTCCTGAAGCCTAGGCTTTCATGGATTTCTAAAGGAAAGAAAGAGTCCAAATAAACCTAAGGTTGGCCTATTACACAGAATAATGTTTTATTCACTAATATGGCACAAGCACTTGCAGTGAACAGAACCTCAAAGACCCTTAAATAAAGCTTTGCTGAATTGAAGGAATCACTAAATGAATAACAATGTGACGTAGCACTTGGGGTTACCTATAGAAAAATATAAAAATAGAAGTTGTTTAAAATTGAACTATGAAATCAACCATGTTAAGAAACCCTCAAACTCCCCAGTTTGTAAGAGGATGTTATTACTACGGAATTTTAAATTGTAAAATCCACACAAATGAAATTACCTACAAAGTTTTGTGTAAATCAAATAGATTACTTTCCTCAAACCTTCGAAGTTCTTCTATATCATAAACAGAGCTGCTAAGAACAGCAAAGATCATCTAATGTAGTATAAACATCATTTTACACATAAGATTAGTTATTTTTTTCATTTGAAAGCTTAATATTCATGCTTTAAACTGAGTTTTTTTTTGGGGGGGGGTGGAATTTGAGTCTGAGAACAAATCTTCAGTTTTTGACTCCAAACCTGCAAAATGTGCGAAATTTCAAAATTGTGTTCTGCTAAAAAGGTCCCGGGCAGTATTACAAACAGCAAGTACTAGAAATGAATTTGGGAATGTTTAGAGGAAACATACTGTGTATAGAAATAAAACACTTTTTAAAAATCAAATGTTTAAACAGTTAGTGAATGTCCAATGCAACCGAAAGTGCTCTGGTTGACTTCAAATAAGTAAATTATTCCACTGAAACAAAAAAGGACAAAGGAAAGGATAACCCTTTTAGTGTCAACATTTTCAAACCTAAACCTTTTATTTGAAATAAACATTTAAAAAAATTGGACTTACTGGAATAGTGATTTTTTTCAAATTACAGTCCTTTTCCAGGAGCTCATATACATACTTCGTGATGATCTAAGTAGGAAAGAAATAACATATTAAGATGCAAGGTCATACATTATCAAAACTGATGTAAAATTTGATAAAATATTGAAAGTTATTCCTCTAAGTGAATGTCTAATCATCTTGGAGAGTTCTGATATTACATTAAGAGATTCCTAATTATTTGTAATAGTTTACTTCCTGTTGCTATGTGAATAACTATAGACCTTGGAGGTAAAGACAGAACCCATTGGCCAGGTATTTAGGTCAGTGGTGCAGTGCCTGCCTGGTAAGCATGAGGTCCTGAGTTCGATTCCTGGTACCCCCCACAAAAAAGCTTAGGACCAATTATTGTAAAACTGAAAGAACATATAAGACTTTCTCCTTTGGATAGGACTACTGTAAAAAGCATCTTTTATTTCCTCTATGTTTTTAGAATCTGTTTCCCTTGTACTTCCCCACAGATCTTTTATCTTATATAATCCTATGGGAGTCTGAATCTCCATACTTCTTTTGTATTCACTGAATCGAGGAGGAAAATATTTCAGGTACTATAAACAAAAAAAAGAACATGGACACCGAAAAGCCAGGTACCAGGCAATACTCTATTTATGGGAGGGAGAAACATGGTCTTCTCAAAGATATGTATGTTCCCATTCCTGAAACCTATGACTATGTAATGGTACATGGTAAAGAGGCCTGCCTATACAATGAAGATTAGTGATCTTAAAATGGGAAAGTTACCCTGGACTATCAGGGTGGCCCAATCTAATTATGTAAGACCTTCAGAGTGGAAAACTATAGAGGCACAAAGTCTCAGAGAAATGCAAAGTAAAAAGGGCTACACTGGTTGCCCTGGGTTTTGAAGGCAGAAGAAAAGCAAAAACCGAGAAGTGTGGTGATCTTTAGAATGGCATAATCTTCAAACTAAAGTCAGTAGAAAAGGAGCCCTCAGCCCTACAACTGCAAGGGACTTCACTGTGCACAAGTCAGTAGTAAATGGAGTCTTCTTCCAGTCCTAAACCACCGGACTACACCTTCACATTCAACTACTGAATTTCCTACCAAGCTTCTAACATACGGAATTGTAAGATAACAAATTTGCTATAAATGCTAAAGCGATAGTAATTCTTACAGCAGCAACAGAAAAATAAAATACTGTTGCTATCAAGGAAGCCAAAGAGTAAGGGAAGGGATGTCTGAAATAAGAACAAATATTGAATGGGTAGTTGTCACAGTCATTGTGAGGAGTGCTTCTCTTCCCCCACATGTCTTCAGATATCCATGAAAGCTATCTCAGAGAAGTTTTAGCAGCAATATAATTAAAAGTCAAATTTTATGAAATAAAACAAGAAGATAATTTTTTAAAGAAAATTTAGATTTCAAATGCTTTGGTGATGCATTTCATAACCTAAAATAGATTTTTTTATCCAGCTTTTTAAAAAAGAGGCTCACAATTCTTCTATGTATATGTATTACATCATTTCACCTTAGAAACAGTATTTATATATGTTAGAACAGCTTTATCTTACTTAGAGTGATAATTTCAGAAGCTATGATCCTACATTAAAACTGGGTAATAATCTGCTATATAATAACCTGACAGTATTCTCGTATTCAGTTTCTTTCAATGAAGTAGTTAAAATTATGCTCATTGTACTTTCACTGAAAGGTAGTAGTACTATGAACTTGAAAGTAAACTAAAAATACATAAGTTTAGACACAAAAGTAGGTTTGAAGTCACGTAATGGCTTGTCACTTCGAGTGAAGTGGCTGAACTAGATGAAATTACCTAAAATGAGTGGCTTAACCTTTCTGAAAACTTCCTATGAAAATGTAAAATATTCTTATAGGTAAAGCAACAAAACCAATCAAGGTTAACTAAAAGTCCACTGAATTCTACCACTATCCAAAATATTTAAGAAATTTGATTTGAGAAAAAAACTATTTTGGCAGTTCAAACCTCTTATTAATTAAAATACCCAGTTAATTCTCAATTTTCATACCCACAAAAGAATAAAAAATAAAAAAAATTCAAGAACTGCTTATATTTGCCCTAGAAAGCAAATGTCTATTCTGTAATTTATAATATATGAAACCAAATAATATAACCATAAATCTAGTAATTTGCCTGGATTTTTCTCCTTCCTGTCTTCAGAAGAAAAACAACTATAGACTAAGCCATGCACCTCTTTGGCAGTTTTCTCCCCCTAGAATATTCGTCTCAGCTTTAGTCACCCACCCAGAGATAGATCACTTCGCAACTATTGCAGGCAACTTTCCTTGCCTCACTTCCACCCTTCGGAACAGGACAAAATGTCCCACCTCCTGTTCCTCTGGGTATGACTGAGTATCATTACCTAGCACATTAAATGGTATTATATATGGTTATTACCCAAGTAGTCCTAGAATGCCATTATTTGGGTGTCCTATCTGTATTTATCTTTCCATTCAGACGATTATATCAGGCACATTGAAGGTGCTTTAAAATGGGATATGAATTCTCCTAACTGTCCATCTTGTCTACATTTTTTGAGGGAGATAAGTGTTTCCCACTTCCAAAAGCCTTTTCTAATTGCTGAATCAAGGCTTAGGAATAAGCACCAAGGATTCATTCATTGCCTTCCAGATTGCACCGGATTGCAGTCTGCATTTAGAAAAAAATGAAAACTCAATTTCAGAAAGGAGATGAGAATAGTATTTCTGTCAGTGTGTCATCTTTGTTCAAATATTCACTGAAAGCTGTGTTCAAAGAGGAAAAATAAAAGGCTTAAGAGATGAAGCATGCTCTAAAATTGTACCTTCATTCTAATAAGAAACATAAGAACTCTTGGTTTCCAACCCAATGTATAAAGAGCCTGGAAGCAGTTACGCTTAGCCTCATAAAAAGAAAAAAGAAGAACAAACTGAAAGCCAATAACTCTTCTTAGATACTTCAGAGAGTTGAGGACACAGGACGAACTGCTTTCCTGAAAACTGCAAAGATAGGCAAGCAGGTACAGAGAGTTTTTAGGCAGCAAAAGCCTAGGAGCAGAAGCCTCAGCTGAAAGCTGCCCTGAACTAGAAGTATTTCAGCTGCAAAGGGTTAACTGCTAGAGGCCGAGTGTGGACTACTTTAAGAGTTAAAAACTAGGAGGGGACCCAGCCTTAAAGAGTGGTGGCAAAATTTTGTGTTATCTCTAGGAGCCCTACTAGGTTCTTTCTGTGAAGCCTGCTTCAGAAGAGGAGGGGAAACTAACAATTTAAAAATATACTCCTCATATTTCTATTATTATAAAAATAATACTCATATTTTCTTAATAAGGTCTTATCCCCAGGGAAATTACTGGAGCCTCATTGACCTGACAGGAAAAGAAATGCCTAATTTGAGCTCACTAGAAGAAAAACCCAAAGACAATAGGGGGATGCAAAAAAGGGCTCTAGAGGAAAAGTTAGCCTCAGACTATCCAGCTACAGGAAACACTGCCTACTTCCCAGTCAAATGAAGATAAGCCTTACACTAGACAGCTATCTGCCTCATTTCCACTTGCCGGTTGCATCGTGTCAAACTTTTAACAAAAAATTACCAGTCGGGCAAAAGGAAAAACAAACCAAACCTAACCAAAACTCTCCACAGTCTGAAGAGACAAAGCAAGCACCAGAATCAGATTCAGACAACAGAGAATTATCAGAGTGAGAATTTAAAATATGATTAATGTATTAACACCATTATTGGAAAAAGGAGGCAATGTAAAAGAACAGACAGAGTAAGGTAAGCAGAACCATAGAAATCTAATAATCAAAAGGAAATGTAAGATTAAAAAATAACACTAACAGAAATAAAGAAGGCCTTTGATGGGCTCATCAGTAGAGTGGTCATGGCCAAGGAAAGAATCACTGGGACTGAAGATTTGTCAACAGAAATTTCTAAAACTTAAACAAAAAGAGAAAAATGAAATACAAAAATAAAATCTGAGAGAATTATGGCACAATTACCAAAGGAAAAATTTTTGCATAATGTTTCTCATAATGAGAATACAAGAAGGAGACGTAAAAAAAGGAAATCGAGTTACTGAACTAATAATGCTTAGAAATTTTCCAAAATTAAGAACAACACAAAATAATAGATCCAGAAGTAGAGAGAACACCAACCAAGATAAATACACACACACACACACACACACACACGAAAACACACCACAAAAACACTACATCTAGCTATCTCATGTCCAAACAAGAGAAGACCAGAGAGGAAGAGAAGATGGGGAAAAGCCAGGAGGGGACATGAGGAGAAGGGAAACAAGAGGAACATGGGCAAGAACTGCGTCCAACTTGTCTTTCCAACCACGCAAGCAAAAAAAGAGGACTGAAATGCTCAGTGATAAAAAGAAAAACAACAAAACAAAAACTGCCTATCTAGAATTCCATACGCCCAAAAACCATCCTTCAAAAGTGAAGAAAGATGTTCTCAGACAAGAATTGAGGGGAACTTATGCCACTAGGCCTGCCTTCCAGGAAATGTTAAAAGAAAGAGTCATTTCAGAGAGAAATGATACAAATGATACAGGTCACAAGTTTGGATATACACTTTTTAAAAATGCAAAAGTGTTAGACAAAAAAAGGAAGATGAAATGACGTTTTAATTTTTTTCTTATTCTTCACTGATCATAGCTTACAGGTAAGAATGACAGCCATAGTGTGAGTATGAGGAGGGAGAAACTGGAAAAAACCCTAACTCTATGGAACTTGGCACTACCCATGGAGATCTGGTGCTATCTGAAGGATATTCTGGAAGCTCACATTGACTACAAGTGGTGATTTGCAAGGATTTCTTTGATTCCTAAGAAGCAACTATATAGATACAATTAAATGAATCTATACCAGAGGAAATAGTCATAGAATAAACTGTTAGCTCCCAATAGAAAAATGCCCTCTAAAGAATTAGATTCTAACTCAATTTGTTCTTAGCTCAGTTCCTAGTTCTTAGTTTCTCCATGTAGTGAGTAAAGGCAAGTTGTAAAAGGGGACTAAGAGTGATCAAAGAAATAGACCAC